GCAAAGGCACTTAAACACACCACTTCACAGAGGAATAAATAGAAAAGGGCCAGCTCAGCTGAGCCTCATTAGAGAATCAAAATCGTTGTCATGTGTGTTCACCGTCTCCGCACTCTGCAGCACGTCGAGTTCAGCGGGAGGAACGGTGAGAAAACAAATCAAGTTAAAAGGGAGAGAGAGAGAACAAGTTAAAAAAAAAATTAACGCGGTCACGCGCATGCGCACCCCCCGCTGTTCCGCAGACGCGACAGCGGCAACGGTGGCGCCTCGCCAGCGACCTTTAATACGGCGAGTCAGGCATCTTTGCAAAAGGCTCCATCTCCGCTTCTTGCACGGTCTGGAATCCACTCACCTCTCTATCACGCTGACGCCGGCGATAGAAGCGCACGCCAAAGCCCACTGCAAGTCCCACCAAGAGCCCACCCACAGCACCCAGCACGCACCACAGTGGGATCAGGTTGCGTCCAGACTTCTTCTTCGGCGGGGCTGATGTGCTCGACACCGCGGGGCACGCATTCGCGCTCGCGCAGTCCCGCGCAGTCAACGCGGCATCCGCAGCCACCGTCTTCGACTTCCACCCCGCGGGCAGGCACCCGCACAGGCCCGTCCCCTTCAGGTCGACGCTCACCAGCTTCGTCATGCCGCCCCAACTATCAGGCACGCCACCGGACAGCGCGTTGCCGCTCACGTTCAGGCTGCGCAGCGACGTCATCTCGCTCCAGGCAGACGGCAGCGTGCCGGTGATGGCGTTGCTCTGCACGCGCACCGTCTGCAGACGCGCCAGGCGGCCCCAGCTCGCAGGCAGCGTCCCCGCGACCCGCGAGCCCTTACCGTACACGCTCAACTCCGTCACCGCAACCTGCTGCCCGTCCACGTCCGCCGCGAGCTCAGGCAGTCGCACGGTCGCCGTCGACGTTACAGTCTTCATCAACGCGGCGACCTTCGTCCGTGACACAGCTGTCGCCAGCGGCAGCGGTGACAGGTCCAGCTGCACCGCACCGTCCGCAGAGCACTTCACGTACGCCCAGTCGCAGTAGCTGCTCCCGGTCCACCGCATCGCCAGACTCGGGTCCATCGTCGAGAACGCCTGCAGGAACTTCAAGGTGTTTCGCTGCTCCTGCGTCGGCGCAGCGGTGGTCGTCGTGGTCGTGTTGTGCACGTCGCACGCGTTCTTATCGCTGCAGTTGGACGAAGACACCGCGGCATCCACGGTAATGTCAATGTTGTAAGTTTTCTTCGACCAACCATCGGGGAGGCATCCGCACAGATGGTTCCTGCTCAGATCAGCAATGATGTACGTCCACTGGGCCGCCCATTGTGCAGGGATCGAGCCTGTAAATTGATTTGCTGCGAGGTATAGGGACCGCAGGTACTCCACGGAGGCCCAGTCTGCAGGCAGCGAGCCAGAGAGGGCGTTGCTCGAAAGGTTGAGTGTACTTAAGCCGGACATCGTCTTCCACTCTGCCGGTAGTGTGCCGGTCAACGCATTGCTCGAAAGCCGAAACCAGCGAAGCTTCGACAGGAACCCCCACTGGCCAGGAAGGCTGCCCTCAAGGCGGTTGCTGCTCAGGTCCAGTGACTGCAGCGCAGCCATCCCGCTCCAGTCCGCAGGCAGTGAGCCTGTCAGTGCGTTGCCGCTCAAGTCCAGCATCCGCAGGCGGGTCAGGCGGCCCCAGCTCGCGGGCAGTTTGCCCGTGACATTCTGGCCAAACTCATTCACGGAGATCTCATTGAAGATGACGGCGGAGCCGTTCACGTCGGCACCCAGCTCAGGCAGCTCCAACGATCCGGTGAACACCGGGGAGTTGAGGGCGCCAAAGTTAAGCACATTCGAGTAGGTGCCGCACCGCACGTACGGCCATTCACAGTAGTAGATGCCGGTCCACCTGCTCGCAAGAAACGGGGTTTTGGCCGCAAAGCCACGCAGGAACTTCAGCGTGCTCTTCTCCTCCTCCGTCATCCCCGCCATGCTGTCAGAGCTGCCGCTGCCGTCGACACACCTGTATGCGGTGCGGCACTTCGGCGATGTCACCGCGTCATCGGCTCGGACGTACGGAGGATATCCCGGCTTCCAGGCGCTCGGCACGCACCCGCAGAAGTCGTTGCCCGCCAGGTAGATGTCCTGCAGTGACTTCATGTTGTTCCATTCTTCAGGAATCGCACCGGCCAGCGAGTTGTTGTTCAGCCGCAACTCGTTCAAGGTCGGCATCGCGGCCCATTCGACGGGCAGCGTGCCCGAGAGCGCATTCGCGGCCAGGTTGAGAGTGTAAAGCTTCGTCATGGCGCTCCAGTTCGCAGGCAGTGACCCGTTCAGTGCGTTGCCGCTCAAGTCCAGCGTCCGCAGGCGGGTCAGGCGGCCCCAGCTCGTGGGCAGTGCGCCCGTCACGCTCGCACCCTTGCCGTGCAGCTCGAAACTCGTCACGTCCACAAGGCTGCCATCGATGTCCGACGTCAGCTCCGGCAGCTGCACCGAGCCAGAGAGCGTGACGTCGTTCAGCGTGACGGATGCAAGTCCGCTGGAACCGCACTTCACGTTCTGCCAGCCGCAGTACCACACGCCACCCCAGAGGCTCCGCAGCTCCCCGCCCACAGCAGCCCGCACCAGCCGCAGGAACTTCAGCGTGTTCTGTTCGTTCGCCGTCAGCATCGCGATCTCCTCGGAGTCGTCCGCCGCGGAGGCCGAGCCGGAGCTGTGCGCCTCGCACACGTTTGCAGTGGTACAGTTAGCAGCGGACACCGCAGGATCAACAGTGGGGGGATAAGAACCGTTCTTCAGTTTGGTAGGAACGCATCCGCACAGCCTGTTGCTGCTCAGCTCCAACGTATACACCCGCAGCTCGCCCCACCGCTCAGGGATCGAGCCCGTTAGCTGGTTATTGGACAGATCCAGAGACCAAAGCGCCGTTAACGCCACCCACGCCGCAGGCAACGTGCCGGAGAGCGCATTGCTGTTGAGGTACAAATCCTTCAGTGAGGACATGCGAATCCACGCAGCAGGCAGCGCGCCGGACAGCGAGTTGTTGTCGAGCCGCAAGTCCTTCAATTCAGACAATAACCTCCACTGACCGGGAAGGCTGCCCTCAAGGCGGTTGCTGTTCAGGTACAGTGACTGCAGCGCAGACATCCCGCTCCAGTCCGCAGGCAGCGGGCCATTCAGTGAGTTGTAGTTCAACCGCAGAGTCCGCAGCTTCCTCAGGCGGCCCCAGCTCGTGGGCAGCGTGCCTGTAACCTGTTGCCCAAACCAACTCGCAGAGATTTCCGTGAAGATCACGGCGGAGCCATTCACGTCCGCACCCAGCTCAGGCAACACCAGCGATCCCGTGAACGCCGGCCGGCTGTAGGCCTTGAAACTCAGCGTGCTCGCTAAATAGCCGCATCTCACGTACGGCCACGAGCAGAAGTCCGTGCCGGTCCAGCTGGTCTCCAGAGTTGAGCCCGCTATCGCAAAGCCCTTCAGGAACGCCAGCGTGTTCTTCTGCTGATCGGCGGTGTAGTCGGTGGTGGAGGCCGCGGAGACAAAGAGGGCGTTCACGCACAGCACCAGCAGCGCACCGGCCACCATCATGCGACGCAGCGGGTACTTGAGACACGCCATAGGTCGCAGTCAGAGAGGTGAGGGAGGAGGTACGGAAGAGGAAGGAAGAGGTCGCGGTGAAGAGCTTCGTACAGCTTGACAGAAACGAGAAAGTCGGTCGTCGCACGTGGGGCTTGCGCTTGTGGAGTGTGCCGCAGTGACGAATGCTGCTGAAACAGCTGATGTATTAAAATTAAACAGAAAAGAGAAAGTGTGTGTTTAGCGAAAAGAGATTATGAAGAGAGGCGTAGTGAAAGAGAAGGCCTTCAAGCTGCGGCGGTCGGCGCCGCGGTGGAGCAGTGCAGGAAGAAAGGGAGGGGAAAAGAGAAGAAGCGCATGGAGCGGCGAGCAAGGCAGCGGACGAGAGAACATTTGTGGCGGCGTGCGTCGGCGTGCACGCAGCAGGCAACGCCGCAGGGCTGCACCACAACCACGCACCCCATCGTGCGCACGCAAACACGCACACCCGCACACCAGTCGCGCTACACCACGGGAGGGCAGCAAGCGATCCCCCTTCACCGCCGCGGCTCGAGAAAAAGACCGCATGGCGGCGCCGGCACAGCAGGCGGCACGCAGCAGACTCCGCCCGGTCGGCACAACCCGCTTCGCGTACGTCGCTCAGCATTCATTAGAACTGTTACCGTCAGCGAGTGAGAAAGTGTTTCGCTGACGGGGGCACCCGCCCCCGCGTCTTCACCGGTGCGAGTCGCCCCTCCTTCACAAGCGCTCGGTATGTGCACCGGCAGCACTTGGCCCGTCACAGCCTGCACGGTCCGCCGGTACACACCGGGCAGGCGGCATTCACCCAGCACAGCGCAGCGACCTCGCTCGGCTCCCGCGCCGCCACGCGTGTCCGCCAAACGCCCCGCCCCTCCCGCCCAACGAAGGACCACACACAGCTGAGAGTCAGCGGCGGCGCTCTCGCTCACCGCGTGGACGTGCGCCACCGCCATGCTCGCAGTGAAGGCACAAGGGGGTCATGGTGATCGCATCGTACTCGGTGCGCTACAGGCGCAGGCCAAGACACCAAACGCATTCGCACTCCCCTCCGTCGCGGCCACCACGCCACGACGCGCTGCGGCGGCCTCGCGCGAGAGGGCGTCCGGGTACGCCAGCGAAAAGGGACTGAACGGCCACCAGTGCGGCATGTGGCGTCACGTCTGCTCATCTGCGGGCGCTGAGCAACGCCGATGGTGGCCCTCCGTTCTCCCTCACTGCCGTAGCACCGACTTCCGCCAGCGTCAGCCGGACGTTTTGCACCAGGCATCAAATGCAGCAGGCACAAAGAGTAGCACCGCGCAACACACGAGGGGCGTCAACAAGAAGCCACGAGTCCCGTTGGCGGCTGCAAGCACCAGCGGCACAGCCTCCACGTCCAGCGGTGTCGCCGTCTTTCGATGCAGCAGCCACGCAGCACCAGCCGCCGTCAGTACCGCTCAGTCCTCTCCAGGTGCGTCAGCAGCAGAGAGGTGCGGAGTCGCACGAGGGAGCCGCCGGACGCACAGAAACATCGACAAGACATCGTTGCCCAGCACACTGCCCACACCGCCCCGCGAGTGCCCGGGGCCAAGCCCACCACGGAGCCCCGGACACGAAAGCCGTGCATCACCACTTTGCCAAAGGGCCGTTGGGCACTTCCTTCCTTCCACCTCCCCGCGCGCGGCTTCGACCACCCGATACACCCCACGCCCCGCAGAACAGCAAAGGACGGAAACCGGGAGCGCAATTCGGGTGCGGCGGAAGGAGGGGGCTGGGGGTGCACGGGAAACCGCAGAAGCATCGCGCAAACGCACCTTCGCGTCCTAAGGTGGGACGGTCCGCTTCATGTTACAGCGGAGAGAAGAGAGAAAGGAAGGAAGGAAGGAAAGAGAGGAGAGGAGAGTGAACGGCGCCATCATTCAAAACGCGAGCGCACCCGGCATCCAGCGCAGGGAAACCCGCCCAGCACACCATCATCCCTTCGAGCCTCGTCGCCACAAACGGCGCACCGTGGATGGTGCAGAGAGGGCAGCCAGCGGCACCCTCCATCCACACCACGCCGCACCGCGACACGCTCGTGATGCCGTCGCGGCTCCGACGGCACAGCACGGTCGAGGGACACAAGGCACAGGCGCAGCGGAGTGCGCCGACGGGCGTCGTGTCGGCAGTGAGAAATTCGGAAGGGAGAAGGAACCTACGTGTGGAACCATATAGAAATAGAAATAGAAATAAAAAGTCTCGAAAACAAGAGGGGGGCGGAGGGCCAACACACGCGCACGGGAAGCCAGCGCCCCAGCGCAGACGAGCAGCCGGTCGTGAGAGACGCAACGCTCGCTCCGCAAGCCGCGAAAATGAAGTCAAGCACAGGTGCACCGACGTGCCTGTGCGACGCGCATGAGAAGTCCTCGCCCACACCTCCGCCACACCGATAACCGGGCTGCCACGGCGGACACACCGCCCTGCCCAAGGACGGCTCCGTCGCCCACTCCGGCAAACAGGTGCCACGGTGCGGCGCAGTTCGAGACACAAGAAACAGAATCAGGAAACAAAGGAGTAAAGAAAACTTTGGCCAACGACCGTCGCACTCGCAGAAGCCAGTGCGGCTGCTCGCTTTAAAGAAAAAGAAAAGGTTGTGTGAGAAAATGCTATCTTCATTGTTGATTCAGCGCAGGTCGTGCGGCAGGCAGCGCCTCTGTGTCGTCAGCCATCGACGGCGCTCCAGCACGTGGAACAAGCGCAATGAGGCGTGCTTGCCTACGTGCACGGCTGCGCGCAGGGCAGCGTCGCTCAGCTCCCCAGCTTCGCATTCATTCTGCGAGGGCCCCTAAAGAAAAAGACGGGAGCAAAAGAGGTGCCCTACAGAAAAGAAAGGCGTCGGACGCCAAAAGAAAGTTTTGATGTGAGTTACGGGAATAGCGCCGTTCAAACTGGAAGAGCAGCCGCGACAGCACTTGCGTTGACTGATAAAGTTGAAACACAGCAGCATTAACGATGCCACTGGAGAAGGAAGAGGAGCACAAGGTGACGCCAGGCACCTCTCGCACACGGGTGAGTGTGCAGTGCAGGTTGAACCGGTCGCCGCCACGGAATGAGGTCTCCGCGTGTTTCACCCTCAACGTACTTCACTGCGCCGGACAGCTCCGCAATGGGGAGGTGCGCCGCGGGAAGTAGAAGGCACGGACGTACCAGTGCGAGAGAAAACACACAAGACCAGAAGCCTAAAGGGAAAGAAGGAGTTTGAATTACTAATGTTGAACAAAGCATGAAGACGAGACGCCGCGGTTGAAAAAAAAGAACAGAAAATAAAACAGGGAAGACGCATGTATGTAATCGCGTTGGTGTTATGCAAGCTGCGTGGAGTGCACTCTCCTATGCATGTGGCGGTTGTACTCAACGGCGCGCTCAGCAACGCCTCGCCGCACAGGCAGCAGAGTCACGGGAAACAGGACAATCACAAACACCGCAAAGGCAAGAGAGGCGGCACGCAGTGCAGATGGAAAAGAAAAAAGAAGGAATGAAAAAAAAAAGAAATAAAAAAACGCCGAACGGCTGAGCAGCGAGCAGCGGACGTCTGCACATGTGTGGGTGGGTGGGTTTGTCTCGCAGACGGGAAAGCAAGTAGCCAGGAAAAATACACCGAGTAGAGGAGAGTGAACTCTGTCGCTCTCTGCTCCCCGCACGGCGGCTTCCCTTGGCGGCTCCACACGCACACACGCAGAAACATCTCACAGACGCATATTCACAAGTGCCCACGTCAACCACGGCCCCAGCAACGCAGATTAACTCGTGCAACCACTCCATGGGCACACACCGTTCATCCATATCCACGCAGAGATGCCGGCGTCAATTGAAAGATAAAAGAAAACTACTTTTTAGCAAAAGAGAAAAAGCGGGCGGTCGCGTGAAGAGAGGCTGAAGAAAAACCGATGAATTGGCAAAGGCACTTAAACACACCACTTCACAGAGGAATAAATAGAAAAGGGCCAGCTCAGCTGAGCCTCATTAGAGAATCAAAATCGTTGTCATGTGTGTTCACCGTCTCCGCACTCTGCAGCACGTCGAGTTCAGCGGGAGGAACGGTGAGAAAACAAATCAAGTTAAAAGGGAGAGAGAGAGAACAAGTTAAAAAAAAAATTAACGCGGTCACGCGCATGCGCACCCCCCGCTGTTCCGCAGACGCGACAGCGGCAACGGTGGCGCCTCGCCAGCGACCTTTAATACGGCGAGTCAGGCATCTTTGCAAAAGGCTCCATCTCCGCTTCTTGCACGGTCTGGAATCCACTCACCTCTCTATCACGCTGACGCCGGCGATAGAAGCGCACGCCAAAGCCCACTGCAAGTCCCACCAAGAGCCCACCCACAGCACCCAGCACGCACCACAGTGGGATCAGGTTGCGTCCAGACTTCTTCTTCGGCGGGGCTGATGTGCTCGACACCGCGGGGCACGCATTCGCGCTCGCGCAGTCCCGCGCAGTCAACGCGGCATCCGCAGCCACCGTCTTCGACTTCCACCCCGCGGGCAGGCACCCGCACAGGCCCGTCCCCTTCAGGTCGACGCTCACCAGCTTCGTCATGCCGCCCCAACTATCAGGCACGCCACCGGACAGCGCGTTGCCGCTCACGTTCAGGCTGCGCAGCGACGTCATCTCGCTCCAGGCAGACGGCAGCGTGCCGGTGATGGCGTTGCTCTGCACGCGCACCGTCTGCAGACGCGCCAGGCGGCCCCAGCTCGCAGGCAGCGTCCCCGCGACCCGCGAGCCCTTACCGTACACGCTCAACTCCGTCACCGCAACCTGCTGCCCGTCCACGTCCGCCGCGAGCTCAGGCAGTCGCACGGTCGCCGTCGACGTTACAGTCTTCATCAACGCGGCGACCTTCGTCCGTGACACAGCTGTCGCCAGCGGCAGCGGTGACAGGTCCAGCTGCACCGCACCGTCCGCAGAGCACTTCACGTACGCCCAGTCGCAGTAGCTGCTCCCGGTCCACCGCATCGCCAGACTCGGGTCCATCGTCGAGAACGCCTGCAGGAACTTCAAGGTGTTTCGCTGCTCCTGCGTCGGCGCAGCGGTGGTCGTCGTGGTCGTGTTGTGCACGTCGCACGCGTTCTTATCGCTGCAGTTGGACGAAGACACCGCGGCATCCACGGTAATGTCAATGTTGTAAGTTTTCTTCGACCAACCATCGGGGAGGCATCCGCACAGATGGTTCCTGCTCAGATCAGCAATGATGTACGTCCACTGGGCCGCCCATTGTGCAGGGATCGAGCCTGTAAATTGATTTGCTGCGAGGTATAGGGACCGCAGGTACTCCACGGAGGCCCAGTCTGCAGGCAGCGAGCCAGAGAGGGCGTTGCTCGAAAGGTTGAGTGTACTTAAGCCGGACATCGTCTTCCACTCTGCCGGTAGTGTGCCGGTCAACGCATTGCTCGAAAGCCGAAACCAGCGAAGCTTCGACAGGAACCCCCACTGGCCAGGAAGGCTGCCCTCAAGGCGGTTGCTGCTCAGGTCCAGTGACTGCAGCGCAGCCATCCCGCTCCAGTCCGCAGGCAGTGAGCCTGTCAGTGCGTTGCCGCTCAAGTCCAGCATCCGCAGGCGGGTCAGGCGGCCCCAGCTCGCGGGCAGTTTGCCCGTGACATTCTGGCCAAACTCATTCACGGAGATCTCATTGAAGATGACGGCGGAGCCGTTCACGTCGGCACCCAGCTCAGGCAGCTCCAACGATCCGGTGAACACCGGGGAGTTGAGGGCGCCAAAGTTAAGCACATTCGAGTAGGTGCCGCACCGCACGTACGGCCATTCACAGTAGTAGATGCCGGTCCACCTGCTCGCAAGAAACGGGGTTTTGGCCGCAAAGCCACGCAGGAACTTCAGCGTGCTCTTCTCCTCCTCCGTCATCCCCGCCATGCTGTCAGAGCTGCCGCTGCCGTCGACACACCTGTATGCGGTGCGGCACTTCGGCGATGTCACCGCGTCATCGGCTCGGACGTACGGAGGATATCCCGGCTTCCAGGCGCTCGGCACGCACCCGCAGAAGTCGTTGCCCGCCAGGTAGATGTCCTGCAGTGACTTCATGTTGTTCCATTCTTCAGGAATCGCACCGGCCAGCGAGTTGTTGTTCAGCCGCAACTCGTTCAAGGTCGGCATCGCGGCCCATTCGACGGGCAGCGTGCCCGAGAGCGCATTCGCGGCCAGGTTGAGAGTGTAAAGCTTCGTCATGGCGCTCCAGTTCGCAGGCAGTGACCCGTTCAGTGCGTTGCCGCTCAAGTCCAGCGTCCGCAGGCGGGTCAGGCGGCCCCAGCTCGTGGGCAGTGCGCCCGTCACGCTCGCACCCTTGCCGTGCAGCTCGAAACTCGTCACGTCCACAAGGCTGCCATCGATGTCCGACGTCAGCTCCGGCAGCTGCACCGAGCCAGAGAGCGTGACGTCGTTCAGCGTGACGGATGCAAGTCCGCTGGAACCGCACTTCACGTTCTGCCAGCCGCAGTACCACACGCCACCCCAGAGGCTCCGCAGCTCCCCGCCCACAGCAGCCCGCACCAGCCGCAGGAACTTCAGCGTGTTCTGTTCGTTCGCCGTCAGCATCGCGATCTCCTCGGAGTCGTCCGCCGCGGAGGCCGAGCCGGAGCTGTGCGCCTCGCACACGTTTGCAGTGGTACAGTTAGCAGCGGACACCGCAGGATCAACAGTGGGGGGATAAGAACCGTTCTTCAGTTTGGTAGGAACGCATCCGCACAGCCTGTTGCTGCTCAGCTCCAACGTATACACCCGCAGCTCGCCCCACCGCTCAGGGATCGAGCCCGTTAGCTGGTTATTGGACAGATCCAGAGACCAAAGCGCCGTTAACGCCACCCACGCCGCAGGCAACGTGCCGGAGAGCGCATTGCTGTTGAGGTACAAATCCTTCAGTGAGGACATGCGAATCCACGCAGCAGGCAGCGCGCCGGACAGCGAGTTGTTGTCGAGCCGCAAGTCCTTCAATTCAGACAATAACCTCCACTGACCGGGAAGGCTGCCCTCAAGGCGGTTGCTGTTCAGGTACAGTGACTGCAGCGCAGACATCCCGCTCCAGTCCGCAGGCAGCGGGCCATTCAGTGAGTTGTAGTTCAACCGCAGAGTCCGCAGCTTCCTCAGGCGGCCCCAGCTCGTGGGCAGCGTGCCTGTAACCTGTTGCCCAAACCAACTCGCAGAGATTTCCGTGAAGATCACGGCGGAGCCATTCACGTCCGCACCCAGCTCAGGCAACACCAGCGATCCCGTGAACGCCGGCCGGCTGTAGGCCTTGAAACTCAGCGTGCTCGCTAAATAGCCGCATCTCACGTACGGCCACGAGCAGAAGTCCGTGCCGGTCCAGCTGGTCTCCAGAGTTGAGCCCGCTATCGCAAAGCCCTTCAGGAACGCCAGCGTGTTCTTCTGCTGATCGGCGGTGTAGTCGGTGGTGGAGGCCGCGGAGACAAAGAGGGCGTTCACGCACAGCACCAGCAGCGCACCGGCCACCATCATGCGACGCAGCGGGTACTTGAGACACGCCATAGGTCGCAGTCAGAGAGGTGAGGGAGGAGGTACGGAAGAGGAAGGAAGAGGTCGCGGTGAAGAGCTTCGTACAGCTTGACAGAAACGAGAAAGTCGGTCGTCGCACGTGGGGCTTGCGCTTGTGGAGTGTGCCGCAGTGACGAATGCTGCTGAAACAGCTGATGTATTAAAATTAAACAGAAAAGAGAAAGTGTGTGTTTAGCGAAAAGAGATTATGAAGAGAGGCGTAGTGAAAGAGAAGGCCTTCAAGCTGCGGCGGTCGGCGCCGCGGTGGAGCAGTGCAGGAAGAAAGGGAGGGGAAAAGAGAAGAAGCGCATGGAGCGGCGAGCAAGGCAGCGGACGAGAGAACATTTGTGGCGGCGTGCGTCGGCGTGCACGCAGCAGGCAACGCCGCAGGGCTGCACCACAACCACGCACCCCATCGTGCGCACGCAAACACGCACACCCGCACACCAGTCGCGCTACACCACGGGAGGGCAGCAAGCGATCCCCCTTCACCGCCGCGGCTCGAGAAAAAGACCGCATGGCGGCGCCGGCACAGCAGGCGGCACGCAGCAGACTCCGCCCGGTCGGCACAACCCGCTTCGCGTACGTCGCTCAGCATTCATTAGAACTGTTACCGTCAGCGAGTGAGAAAGTGTTTCGCTGACGGGGGCACCCGCCCCCGCGTCTTCACCGGTGCGAGTCGCCCCTCCTTCACAAGCGCTCGGTATGTGCACCGGCAGCACTTGGCCCGTCACAGCCTGCACGGTCCGCCGGTACACACCGGGCAGGCGGCATTCACCCAGCACAGCGCAGCGACCTCGCTCGGCTCCCGCGCCGCCACGCGTGTCCGCCAAACGCCCCGCCCCTCCCGCCCAACGAAGGACCACACACAGCTGAGAGTCAGCGGCGGCGCTCTCGCTCACCGCGTGGACGTGCGCCACCGCCATGCTCGCAGTGAAGGCACAAGGGGGTCATGGTGATCGCATCGTACTCGGTGCGCTACAGGCGCAGGCCAAGACACCAAACGCATTCGCACTCCCCTCCGTCGCGGCCACCACGCCACGACGCGCTGCGGCGGCCTCGCGCGAGAGGGCGTCCGGGTACGCCAGCGAAAAGGGACTGAACGGCCACCAGTGCGGCATGTGGCGTCACGTCTGCTCATCTGCGGGCGCTGAGCAACGCCGATGGTGGCCCTCCGTTCTCCCTCACTGCCGTAGCACCGACTTCCGCCAGCGTCAGCCGGACGTTTTGCACCAGGCATCAAATGCAGCAGGCACAAAGAGTAGCACCGCGCAACACACGAGGGGCGTCAACAAGAAGCCACGAGTCCCGTTGGCGGCTGCAAGCACCAGCGGCACAGCCTCCACGTCCAGCGGTGTCGCCGTCTTTCGATGCAGCAGCCACGCAGCACCAGCCGCCGTCAGTACCGCTCAGTCCTCTCCAGGTGCGTCAGCAGCAGAGAGGTGCGGAGTCGCACGAGGGAGCCGCCGGACGCACAGAAACATCGACAAGACATCGTTGCCCAGCACACTGCCCACACCGCCCCGCGAGTGCCCGGGGCCAAGCCCACCACGGAGCCCCGGACACGAAAGCCGTGCATCACCACTTTGCCAAAGGGCCGTTGGGCACTTCCTTCCTTCCACCTCCCCGCGCGCGGCTTCGACCACCCGATACACCCCACGCCCCGCAGAACAGCAAAGGACGGAAACCGGGAGCGCAATTCGGGTGCGGCGGAAGGAGGGGGCTGGGGGTGCACGGGAAACCGCAGAAGCATCGCGCAAACGCACCTTCGCGTCCTAAGGTGGGACGGTCCGCTTCATGTTACAGCGGAGAGAAGAGAGAAAGGAAGGAAGGAAGGAAAGAGAGGAGAGGAGAGTGAACGGCGCCATCATTCAAAACGCGAGCGCACCCGGCATCCAGCGCAGGGAAACCCGCCCAGCACACCATCATCCCTTCGAGCCTCGTCGCCACAAACGGCGCACCGTGGATGGTGCAGAGAGGGCAGCCAGCGGCACCCTCCATCCACACCACGCCGCACCGCGACACGCTCGTGATGCCGTCGCGGCTCCGACGGCACAGCACGGTCGAGGGACACAAGGCACAGGCGCAGCGGAGTGCGCCGACGGGCGTCGTGTCGGCAGTGAGAAATTCGGAAGGGAGAAGGAACCTACGTGTGGAACCATATAGAAATAGAAATAGAAATAAAAAGTCTCGAAAACAAGAGGGGGGCGGAGGGCCAACACACGCGCACGGGAAGCCAGCGCCCCAGCGCAGACGAGCAGCCGGTCGTGAGAGACGCAACGCTCGCTCCGCAAGCCGCGAAAATGAAGTCAAGCACAGGTGCACCGACGTGCCTGTGCGACGCGCATGAGAAGTCCTCGCCCACACCTCCGCCACACCGATAACCGGGCTGCCACGGCGGACACACCGCCCTGCCCAAGGACGGCTCCGTCGCCCACTCCGGCAAACAGGTGCCACGGTGCGGCGCAGTTCGAGACACAAGAAACAGAATCAGGAAACAAAGGAGTAAAGAAAACTTTGGCCAACGACCGTCGCACTCGCAGAAGCCAGTGCGGCTGCTCGCTTTAAAGAAAAAGAAAAGGTTGTGTGAGAAAATGCTATCTTCATTGTTGATTCAGCGCAGGTCGTGCGGCAGGCAGCGCCTCTGTGTCGTCAGCCATCGACGGCGCTCCAGCACGTGGAACAAGCGCAATGAGGCGTGCTTGCCTACGTGCACGGCTGCGCGCAGGGCAGCGTCGCTCAGCTCCCCAGCTTCGCATTCATTCTGCGAGGGCCCCTAAAGAAAAAGACGGGAGCAAAAGAGGTGCCCTACAGAAAAGAAAGGCGTCGGACGCCAAAAGAAAGTTTTGATGTGAGTTACGGGAATAGCGCCGTTCAAACTGGAAGAGCAGCCGCGACAGCACTTGCGTTGACTGATAAAGTTGAAACACAGCAGCATTAACGATGCCACTGGAGAAGGAAGAGGAGCACAAGGTGACGCCAGGCACCTCTCGCACACGGGTGAGTGTGCAGTGCAGGTTGAACCGGTCGCCGCCACGGAATGAGGTCTCCGCGTGTTTCACCCTCAACGTACTTCACTGCGCCGGACAGCTCCGCAATGGGGAGGTGCGCCGCGGGAAGTAGAAGGCACGGACGTACCAGTGCGAGAGAAAACACACAAGACCAGAAGCCTAAAGGGAAAGAAGGAGTTTGAATTACTAATGTTGAACAAAGCATGAAGACGAGACGCCGCGGTTGAAAAAAAAGAACAGAAAATAAAACAGGGAAGACGCATGTATGTAATCGCGTTGGTGTTATGCAAGCTGCGTGGAGTGCACTCTCCTATGCATGTGGCGGTTGTACTCAACGGCGCGCTCAGCAACGCCTCGCCGCACAGGCAGCAGAGTCACGGGAAACAGGACAATCACAAACACCGCAAAGGCAAGAGAGGCGGCACGCAGTGCAGATGGAAAAGAAAAAAGAAGGAATGAAAAAAAAAAGAAATAAAAAAACGCCGAACGGCTGAGCAGCGAGCAGCGGACGTCTGCACATGTGTGGGTGGGTGGGTTTGTCTCGCAGACGGGAAAGCAAGTAGCCAGGAAAAATACACCGAGTAGAGGAGAGTGAACTCTGTCGCTCTCTGCTCCCCGCACGGCGGCTTCCCTTGGCGGCTCCACACGCACACACGCAGAAACATCTCACAGACGCATATTCACAAGTGCCCACGTCAACCACGGCCCCAGCAACGCAGATTAACTCGTGCAACCACTCCATGGGCACACACCGTTCATCCATATCCACGCAGAGATGCCGGCGTCAATTGAAAGATAAAAGAAAACTACTTTTTAGCAAAAGAGAAAAAGCGGGCGGTCGCGTGAAGAGAGGCTGAAGAAAAACCGATGAATTGGCAAAGGCACTTAAACACACCACTTCACAGAGGAATAAATAGAAAAGGGCCAGCTCAGCTGAGCCTCATTAGAGAATCAAAATCGTTGTCATGTGTGTTCACCGTCTCCGCACTCTGCAGCACGTCGAGTTCAGCGGGAGGAACGGTGAGAAAACAAATCAAGTTAAAAGGGAGAGAGAGAGAACAAGTTAAAAAAAAAATTAACGCGGTCACGCGCATGCGCACCCCCCGCTGTTCCGCAGACGCGACAGCGGCAACGGTGGCGCCTCGCCAGCGACCTTTAATACGGCGAGTCAGGCATCTTTGCAAAAGGCTCCATCTCCGCTTCTTGCACGGTCTGGAATCCACTCACCTCTCTATCACGCTGACGCCGGCGATAGAAGCGCACGCCAAAGCCCACTGCAAGTCCCACCAAGAGCCCACCCACAGCACCCAGCACGCACCACAGTGGGATCAGGTTGCGTCCAGACTTCTTCTTCGGCGGGGCTGATGTGCTCGACACCGCGGGGCACGCATTCGCGCTCGCGCAGTCCCGCGCAGTCAACGCGGCATCCGCAGCCACCGTCTTCGACTTCCACCCCGCGGGCAGGCACCCGCACAGGCCCGTCCCCTTCAGGTCGACGCTCACCAGCTTCGTCATGCCGCCCCAACTATCAGGCACGCCACCGGACAGCGCGTTGCCGCTCACGTTCAGGCTGCGCAGCGACGTCATCTCGCTCCAGGCAGACGGCAGCGTGCCGGTGATGGCGTTGCTCTGCACGCGCACCGTCTGCAGACGCGCCAGGCGGCCCCAGCTCGCAGGCAGCGTCCCCGCGACCCGCGAGCCCTTACCGTACACGCTCAACTCCGTCACCGCAACCTGCTGCCCGTCCACGTCCGCCGCGAGCTCAGGCAGTCGCACGGTCGCCGTCGACGTTACAGTCTTCATCAACGCGGCGACCTTCGTCCGTGACACAGCTGTCGCCAGCGGCAGCGGTGACAGGTCCAGCTGCACCGCACCGTCCGCAGAGCACTTCACGTACGCCCAGTCGCAGTAGCTGCTCCCGGTCCACCGCATCGCCAGACTCGGGTCCATCGTCGAGAACGCCTGCAGGAACTTCAAGGTGTTTCGCTGCTCCTGCGTCGGCGCAGCGGTGGTCGTCGTGGTCGTGTTGTGCACGTCGCACGCGTTCTTATCGCTGCAGTTGGACGAAGACACCGCGGCATCCACGGTAATGTCAATGTTGTAAGTTTTCTTCGACCAACCATCGGGGAGGCATCCGCACAGATGGTTCCTGCTCAGATCAGCAATGATGTACGTCCACTGGGCCGCCCATTGTGCAGGGATCGAGCCTGTAAATTGATTTGCTGCGAGGTATAGGGACCGCAGGTACTCCACGGAGGCCCAGTCTGCAGGCAGCGAGCCAGAGAGGGCGTTGCTCGAAAGGTTGAGTGTACTTAAGCCGGACATCGTCTTCCACTCTGCCGGTAGTGTGCCGGTCAACGCATTGCTCGAAAGCCGAAACCAGCGAAGCTTCGACAGGAACCCCCACTGGCCAGGAAGGCTGCCCTCAAGGCGGTTGCTGCTCAGGTCCAGTGACTGCAGCGCAGCCATCCCGCTCCAGTCCGCAGGCAGTGAGCCTGTCAGTGCGTTGCCGCTCAAGTCCAGCATCCGCAGGCGGGTCAGGCGGCCCCAGCTCGCGGGCAGTTTGCCCGTGACATTCTGGCCAAACTCATTCACGGAGATCTCATTGAAGATGACGGCGGAGCCGTTCACGTCGGCACCCAGCTCAGGCAGCTCCAACGATCCGGTGAACACCGGGGAGTTGAGGGCGCCAAAGTTAAGCACATTCGAGTAGGTGCCGCACCGCACGTACGGCCATTCACAGTAGTAGATGCCGGTCCACCTGCTCGCAAGAAACGGGGTTTTGGCCGCAAAGCCACGCAGGAACTTCAGCGTGCTCTTCTCCTCCTCCGTCATCCCCGCCATGCTGTCAGAGCTGCCGCTGCCGTCGACACACCTGTATGCGGTGCGGCACTTCGGCGATGTCACCGCGTCATCGGCTCGGACGTACGGAGGATATCCCGGCTTCCAGGCGCTCGGCACGCACCCGCAGAAGTCGTTGCCCGCCAGGTAGATGTCCTGCAGTGACTTCATGTTGTTCCATTCTTCAGGAATCGCACCGGCCAGCGAGTTGTTGTTCAGCCGCAACTCGTTCAAGGTCGGCATCGCGGCCCATTCGACGGGCAGCGTGCCCGAGAGCGCATTCGCGGCCAGGTTGAGAGTGTAAAGCTTCGTCATGGCGCTCCAGTTCGCAGGCAGTGACCCGTTCAGTGCGTTGCCGCTCAAGTCCAGCGTCCGCAGGCGGGTCAGGCGGCCCCAGCTCGTGGGCAGTGCGCCCGTCACGCTCGCACCCTTGCCGTGCAGCTCGAAACTCGTCACGTCCACAAGGCTGCCATCGATGTCCGACGTCAGCTCCGGCAGCTGCACCGAGCCAGAGAGCGTGACGTCGTTCAGCGTGACGGATGCAAGTCCGCTGGAACCGCACTTCACGTTCTGCCAGCCGCAGTACCACACGCCACCCCAGAGGCTCCGCAGCTCCCCGCCCACAGCAGCCCGCACCAGCCGCAGGAACTTCAGCGTGTTCTGTTCGTTCGCCGTCAGCATCGCGATCTCCTCGGAGTCGTCCGCCGCGGAGGCCGAGCCGGAGCTGTGCGCCTCGCACACGTTTGCAGTGGTACAGTTAGCAGCGGACACCGCAGGATCAACAGTGGGGGGATAAGAACCGTTCTTCAGTTTGGTAGGAACGCATCCGCACAGCCTGTTGCTGCTCAGCTCCAACGTATACACCCGCAGCTCGCCCCACCGCTCAGGGATCGAGCCCGTTAGCTGGTTATTGGACAGATCCAGAGACCAAAGCGCCGTTAACGCCACCCACGCCGCAGGCAACGTGCCGGAGAGCGCATTGCTGTTGAGGTACAAATCCTTCAGTGAGGACATGCGAATCCACGCAGCAGGCAGCGCGCCGGACAGCGAGTTGTTGTCGAGCCGCAAGTCCTTCAATTCAGACAATAACCTCCACTGACCGGGAAGGCTGCCCTCAAGGCGGTTGCTGTTCAGGTACAGTGACTGCAGCGCAGACATCCCGCTCCAGTCCGCAGGCAGCGGGCCATTCAGTGAGTTGTAGTTCAACCGCAGAGTCCGCAGCTTCCTCAGGCGGCCCCAGCTCGTGGGCAGCGTGCCTGTAACCTGTTGCCCAAACCAACTCGCAGAGATTTCCGTGAAGATCACGGCGGAGCCATTCACGTCCGCACCCAGCTCAGGCAACACCAGCGATCCCGTGAACGCCGGCCGGCTGTAGGCCTTGAAACTCAGCGTGCTCGCTAAATAGCCGCATCTCACGTACGGCCACGAGCAGAAGTCCGTGCCGGTCCAGCTGGTCTCCAGAGTTGAGCCCGCTATCGCAAAGCCCTTCAGGAACGCCAGCGTGTTCTTCTGCTGATCGGCGGTGTAGTCGGTGGTGGAGGCCGCGGAGACAAAGAGGGCGTTCACGCACAGCACCAGCAGCGCACCGGCCACCATCATGCGACGCAGCGGGTACTTGAGACACGCCATAGGTCGCAGTCAGAGAGGTGAGGGAGGAGGTACGGAAGAGGAAGGAAGAGGTCGCGGTGAAGAGCTTCGTACAGCTTGACAGAAACGAGAAAGTCGGTCGTCGCACGTGGGGCTTGCGCTTGTGGAGTGTGCCGCAGTGACGAATGCTGCTGAAACAGCTGATGTATTAAAATTAAACAGAAAAGAGAAAGTGTGTGTTTAGCGAAAAGAGATTATGAAGAGAGGCGTAGTGAAAGAGAAGGCCTTCAAGCTGCGGCGGTCGGCGCCGCGGTGGAGCAGTGCAGGAAGAAAGGGAGGGGAAAAGAGAAGAAGCGCATGGAGCGGCGAGCAAGGCAGCGGACGAGAGAACATTTGTGGCGGCGTGCGTCGGCGTGCACGCAGCAGGCAACGCCGCAGGGCTGCACCACAACCACGCACCCCATCGTGCTACAGAATGAGGTCTCAGTGGAGTTTTCCACCCAAAATGAGAGAAATCGCTCTATTCTGAAATGCGAGGGTCTTGCAGAGGAAGAGACATGTCGAATAAAAAATGTGCTGTCGAAGGACAATCGGGTTTGTGCACTGCACGCGCGACATCGCCGTCACACTGTGCGCGTTGGGGGTGCGAAGCACGTTAAGTTTTTAGCTCATCGGAGAAGTGGGGAACAGCGGCAGCGAGACCGGGAAACACATCTGTGCACAACTGTGTGCCAGTGGTCGGCCGCGAGCGTTCAATATACCGGCCCCTTCTTTGTTATGGGCTGCAAATAATCACTGAAAGTAAAGAAACAGAAAAATGAGAAGGACCCTTCGGAGCTAAAGATGGACGTGCGTCACCTCCGCGCCGTCTGTAGCTCCGCTTTGTGGGCCATCACACGTACCCTTCGGCCCTTGTTGAGCGTAGCTTCACATCTCGTCGAAGACAGTCTCCTGTCATTCACGGAAATGATGTGCATTCCAATGGTAAAACCGACAGGGCAGAATACCTTAGCTCTAAACATCCAAATACGAATGCGCCGTGGCAAGGCGATGGCCCCGCGTTAGTCAAAATGAAAAAGCAATAATAAATTAGATGTATCAGATAAAGCGAACATAAAAGGAAAATATTTTGTCTGGTTAACACGGCACAGGGTGTCCTTGCTGGTTACACAACACAGGCCTTACATATCTCTACTCCTCAGTTTTGGGAAAAACAGTATGAAAATAGAACTAATAGCAAGCAGTAACACCACCACAGAAAAAGGAAAGAGAGAACACTCACCCCTTGGCTCCGCACCACTGTCGCCCATTTTATTCGCTGGTGTTGCTTCGTTGCCCTTTACTGTGGCTTTAAGAAGCCGACCGCCTTCCCCCGGAGGATGCGGCCGGGCTTCGGGTCAAACCAGACTCAATGGAAAACACACGGGTTATCACAAGAAAGACACCGGAGGCGCAGGGCTCGTTCAACGAGAGTCACTATCGCGGGCATGTCAGCGCGCGACCGAAGGCGACAACCGGGCCGGCAGCGAAGAGCTCAGCCGGAATGTGTACAGCGGGTCGAGGTACCCAAACAAGGAAAAATACACACGCGTCCCGGCGCACTCGTACTAGATGAAGCAGTGCTCTGAGGCTTTGATAGAAGAAAACCACGAAAGAGACACAGAAAGAGAGAGTGCGTGTGTGCGAGAGAGAACACCAACTCAGCAATGGGAAAGCGGATATGTGTACTTATTTGCAAAAGGCATGATAAAAAGAGGAAGAGAAAAAACAATTGTAGCGCTCTCGAGGAAGACAATACATCAAGCAAGTGAAGAGAAGAACGATTGTTTTATTTTGATGTGCGATCACAGCGAGAGAAAATAACTACCGTCCTCCCCAATAAAATAATGGAAAAGAAAAAATAAACATGTTCACTGCAGATCACATAAGGAGCGTAGACCAACCTGAGGCTACCAATCCAGCCTCATGCGCACAGAGATTGTCTCCCTTAAAAAAAAAAAACTATTCTAAATTACTACAGCAATACAAAACGAACCTCCCTTTCTTAAAAAGGAGGAATAAAAACAATATTAGCAGTAGTGATTGCCCCTAGGTGCGTGCAGGCGTTTTCGTGTTTGCTTTGCGAAGAGAAAGTGCGCTAGAGAAAAAAAAAGGAATAGCTATAGTGTGACCAGTGGACAGCCAATGACGCGCGTCAAGTAGCGTGTTCGCGTAGTCGACACAAACACACACACACAAATGGTAACAGAAGAGCAACGAGGAGAGACGCTAGAAGGCCTTCCATCGATTCTATAAGCTTCTTCTCTCTCTCGCTACGGTCTTAACTCATTCAATATGTGCGGTCCAATGAGCTTCGCAGGCCTTTTCATGTGAGTGCACTTGCAGCAGTCCCAAGCCATGCAACCGCAAAGGCTCCAATAAAGAGTGGAGCGGCTGCAGGGGCCATCGCGATGGCCACGAGCGCACCAGTCCATGACGCGATACCGGCTGCCCGAAAGCCATGAGCGAACTGTGCATGCGTCACGTCGTGGTAATACTTCAACATATCAGCGTTTCCCACTCTCTTTGCCACGTAGCCGGCGAATCCCTGGCAATTATCGTTGAGTGCGTTGTAGTGGTCGTGGTACGTATTGTGATAGCCACGGTCCTCTGCAATTGTGTACAAGGCCAAGATTTCATCATCGTTGAGGTCACAATTCACCGTGTCATACGCCTCGTCCATCGCCGCACCCAGCGGCTGCACGTGCACACCGTCCTGGAACTTGTGAAGTGCGAAGGTCCAGAGTGGGTGCTCCATCATACTTTTATAGAGGCATGGAAATGTGTCGGCCGCTGACGGGCACACACGCTTGAGATCCTCGGAGTAGCCGAGAGAAATGCCCACGTGTATTACAACTGCCTTGGTGAAGTGAACCAGAAACGACCCCGGTCGCACCCTGCGGGTTGACTTCGATTCATCACAACGCGCTGTAGACACGGAGGAGCCGCTGGACATGGGGGGGGGGGAGGTAGGGGGGCTCAGGAAGGACTCTGATGAGGGAGGAGAGAAAACCCACGTGACAAGAAAAGTGGTGAGGAATAATTGTGGACGATCTCACGATAAAGAGGGGGAACAGACAGAAGATCAAAGGAAAGAAGGCAGACGATGACAAGTATTTCCATTCGCACCAAAGTTCGAGCACCGTACAGCAAATCATCGAACTCTTAAACATTAGTGAGTACGTGTGGGAGATACACGCTTTACATTGCACTGTTCTGTTTCAACCGTACCATAAATGAACACAGCGGCAGGCTTTCGCTCGAATCCGCCTCCAAAGCGGGGCGGTGCGGGCTCGGGGTGGGCGGGACAGGCACGACAGATGGAGAGATATTTGAGAGCGGAAAGACGTCAGAGGAGAGAGAGAAGAAAGACCGAAACGGTGCGGAACGTGTATGACGGTGAGGCCGGCGCATCTCAGCCACTCCACCATCCAACCATTCCACGCTCCGGTTCTAGAGTAGTGAGTGGTTCTCACGTTTGCACAGCACATGGCCACGTTCATTCGACTGGGGTGCCTCGCTAGATCACCCCCGTCCTTTACATGCACGTTTCCACCCAGGAAGAGTTCTGCAAGTCGTGGGCAGTTCCTCGGATCACTTGCGTTGCGAACATCACAGCTCCACACCGAGATCGGTGAGTCTCGAACAGTCCTCCTAGTCCGCTACAGACTGTATTCCAGAGTGGGCAGCTGTCAAGGGGTCAAAGATGTTGCAATGGACGTCGCTCGCAGGTCCGCCATTCGGACTCCCTCAACCTCTCCATGCGATGCGCCAGTGCATCGCTGCAGGTGTTGAGAACTACGAGCACCAGCAGCAGTCCCCACTGACCCACCCACGTCAGCGAGTGTGCGGCAGCTCCCTCTGCCTCCTCGTCCGCCCAGTCACTTTGACTGGAGAAGTTAGTTTACTGCCTCCCAACCGCGCGCAGCTCGCCGCCCTCACAGATTGGAATGGTTCAAGTTTCTCTGAATTTCACTCCACTTGCGGACTTACAGTACTCGTCGTGTCGAACTGGTACAAGACTACTATCCGAGAAATACTCCTCAACACCGGCGAAAGGGAATCAGCATTCGGACGCGACGGTGCCGCACAAGCGCTATTGAGATTTCTCCACGTAGCAGACAGAAAGATGACCGGATGCGGGGTGATTTGACATGCGAGCTCGGCGCATACGCTGAGAAAGGATTGCATCACGGAAGAGCAACGACGAAACGGGAGAGAAAGTTGGCACGTGTGTGCGCGTGTTGACGTTCGCCGTCTTTAGTTGTTCTACGTTGACCACTTGCCGCAACGCAGTCGCATTTGCTGAGGCGTCTCAGTTAACGTTCTTTCTTTGCCGCATTGTCTAGGTCCATTTCTGGCGCGCGTGTACCGCAGTATGGCGTAGGAAATGACAAGAGAAGACAGTGGCGGTGTGCGAAAATGGAAGCGGCAGCAGTGAAACAGGGAGAGCGGGCTACAGCAACGTTAGCGGGGAACGTTCGTGCCCCTTAAATTCCGTCTTCACCCCCTCCTGGAGTTCGTGACACAGCAGGAGCTCCACCGTTCGCAGAGCCGAACACGTGTGGAGACCAGCTATCGTCTGCACCCCGCTGTGGGATGCGATGATGGTGTGCAGCCGTGGCGCACCAGCCAGGGGCGACAAGCTCTCCAAATTCTTGCAGCAGTCAAAATCGACAACGGCGAGCATCGCGCACGAGTTCAGGCCGTTGATGTTGCGCACAGTTGATTCGCACGCAATCATGCGTGTGAGCTGCGGCGCGCCAGCCAGCGGAGAGATGTCGTGGAGCGACGTGCAGTGGAGAAAATTCACCGCGCGCAGCTCCGGGCACCGGCCGAGGCCACTCACGTCGCTGACGCCGCTCCCACCTGCGGCGACGATGCGCAGACGCGGGGCGCCGGCGAGTGGGGCCAAACTGCGTAAACGGACGCAACGAACGAAGTTGACGGCTTCCAGCAGAGGGCAGCGTGACAGGCCGCTGATGTCCTCGACGGTGCTGCACCGCGCATCGATGATCTTCAGCTGCGGTGCCCCCTCCAACCCGCCCAGCGAATGCAACTCCTTGCAGTCGGCGACGCACATCATCTCGAGGGCACGCCAGCCGCCTCTCCCGCCAACATCACGTACACCACAGTGATGGGCTTTTACCTCGCTCAGAAATGGAAGCTGCGACAGCGACGCGATGTCGGTAATATCGAGGCAATAGGAAATGTCAAGCTTCTCCAACGCGACACAGTTGCTCAGCTCGCTGATGGAGCGCACATCCCCATCGCTGATATCGAGTACTTTCAGGAGCGTTAAGTCACGCAGATAAAACAAGTTGGTGAAGGCGGTGGAGGCGAGTTTCAGCTCCTCCAACTGGTGGCACTCCGAAAGCCAAGTAAAGCAGGTCGCGTCACTCCCGCTCGCGTTAAACGACCTCAGCTGGGGTAGATGCGCAACTGCGGAAAGGTCGAAGAGAGCGTGGCAGCCAACAAAAGCGAGCGCCTCAAAGGCAGCGCAGCGCTCCAGACCAACGAGATTGGTCAGCGCGTGGCTCTCCACCGCCAAACGCTCCAACGTGGCAGCGGCGGCAAACTGCCGCATGTCCAGCGATGCGATATCACCACCGGATAGCCGGACATCCGTCACGGAGGCAATTTGAGACGCGAAATCAAAGTCCTCCCCTGAGAAGTTGTGAACCATCAGCGCCTGCAGCGCCTTGAAGTCGTTCCTGTGTCTGTGTAAGTCTCTCAAGATGCTGCTGTGCACGTCCAGTTCCTCAAGCCCCGCGAGGACGTTGAGGGAGAGATAGAGCTGTGTCACCGCCGCGGAGAGACGCAAGGAGACCAAATCGTGGAACACCGTGTCCGTTAAGTTGACCGTCCTTGACAAGTTCTCTCCATCCAGCTCAAGAGGGAAGCGGAATTTCTGTCGCCACCACGCAGAGAGCTGTGCGTGGACCACGGGCGCGGTCAAGTTCGCGGTGCCTGGAGAAGGGTGAAGAACATGCACGAGGCAGTTCCGGCGAACCACAAGAGTCGAATCCGCCGAAGTCGTGGTGTGGCTGCGCAGCTCCGCGTACACGCGTGCCATGGGGCTGACGGCGGCAAAGGCCAGTGGACAGGTGCGGCTGGCGCATGCACAGACAACCGCTAGCGGACCGCCGTGTACCGGCAGAGGTGGTGGTGGTGATGATGCGGGCAGTTCGGCCGGGGCGTCTTCACCATCGTCTTCGTCCACGATTTCGAGCGGTGGGGGAGCGTTACAAGATTCGATAAACGCCAGGTACCACGAGATGGGAATGCTGCGTGGCCCTGTCGCGTACGGAGAGTGATAATGACGAGGGGGCGATCGAATGGGAGCGGGTCTGTGTGTGTGTGTGTGTGTGTGTGTGTCGGTAAACAAAGAATCATGAAAATCAAACACGAGAGACCTGGATAGTACGTCAATCGTCACTCAACACGAGGAGGGCAAGGAAGCATCAAAAAACAGCAAAGAAATTCTGAGATTTAAAGTACAAACAGGGGAAGAAACCGTCCAGATGGCACACAGATATCAAAGGCGCTGACCAAGAATGTGTTCGCTGCATCTAGAAATTGTTCCATTCTTCTGCTGCGTTCTTTCTCTTGTTTTCGGGTTGTGGTGGTGGCAGTAAGTTCTAGAGATAGCTGCGGTTTACCGTTTATGTCATTGTACAACTCAACACGTTCAGCACACCCAGCCGTTCCCTTTCTCCGATCCGTTGCCTTTTCCCCTTCGCTAGCCGCGTTTAATTCAGCCCACGGACAAAGTTTTTGAAGCCGCGCTTGAGAGACGTACCGACATTCTTGACGGCCCCACCCATGCCGACAGAGTCGCTGCCTGTTTGTATTGGGTAGGCGTAAGGCGCGAGGATGCAGTTGCGGCCGCCGAGAGAGAGAAAACCCTGCTGCCGTACCATCGTGGCCGCATCGACGACGCTGCATAAGTCCGGGTCGAACTCTACCACTGCAAGACGCTCGCTGAGGGTGCGCACAGCGCCGTTTTCCTGCGTCGCTTGCTCCAACGGGTCGTTCGCCGGCGGGGCGTTGTCAAAGGAGACTTGCTTCATGGACTGCGCCAGCTCATCGTGCTCCTGCTTCTCCGACGGCTTGGGCAGGGTGACGGTGAAGCACAGGGCGGTACTTTCGATGGGCGGGAGCTGGCGGCGGGCGAGTTGCGGGGTGACGCCCGTCTCCCACGCGCGCCGCACCGCCGCGTCGATGTCGGCTACCGTGACACCGTCGGGCACGCCGACCACCACCATCGCGCAGGCCCACTGCGTGTACGGGACGGGACGCAAGAGAAAGATGTCACTGATACTCGGGAAGTGATCGCCTTGATTTCGGCCCAGGAGCAGTTCAATGCTGCGAAACTTATTGCGGTCCTCGAAGACGTTCTCGTATTTGCGCTGGGTCGCGATGACTGCGTTGTAGCCCTGCAGGCGCATGCCGCACACCCCGCGAAGGATGTTGCCGTGCATGGCCGCCGAGTTCGTGTAGAGCATCGCGACGGAGTCGCCGTTGAGCACGAAGAGCTCCGCCAAGGCGCGCACGATGACCGGCGGGATGCGCTTCGGGTCGCGTACGTCGTTCCACGTGTTCACAAACGGCTTCGGCACCGTCTGCTTCGCCCCCGAGACCGGCGCGTAAGCCCCGGCGTAGGTGCTCTCCTGCCCAATCTCCTCCGACGCATCCAGCGCCGGCACCAGGGGACTCTCCGCGAAGCTCGAAAAGGGGATGCGCTGCGTGACCAGCATGGCGATGGAGAGCTGCAGACACGTGAAGAAGCAACCGAGGTTGGTGCGGTCGAGGGAGTCGGCGCAGTTGATGCGGACAAACCGGGACTGCGTGATGAGGCGGTCCACCTCGCCGGTGCGGCGCATCATGCCCACCGTCATCATCGAGTCCTCCGGGGTGGTGGTGGTGCCGAGGAAGCCCATCGAGGCCTCCCAGAACGTCGAGGTCGCGACCTGAATCCCGTACTCCTTGATGAGGTTGAGCCAGTCCACGTGGACAAGGTCGAGGCCGCCGCCGGCGAACTTGCCCCTGATCACCGGGTCGGCCGCCCGCACGGCGTCGAGGAAGTAGCGCGCCAGCACGTCCTCACCGTTTTGCGGGTTGAGCCGCAGCAGGCTAATGCAGCGCACCTGCGGGTTCGCTGTGGTCGCGCCGCGCGTGTCGAGCAGCATCACCTGCCTCAGTTTCTGGAAGGTGTTCTCGAAGTACGGTGTGCTGCCGTGGATGACCTCCGCCTTGTCGGGACTAAAGATCATCGCCGGCTCGGAGATGGACATGCTGACTTGCGTGGTCCAATGCACCGGAATCGTCCCACGGAGAATGGAGTGGCGGGTGAAGGTGACCGTGTCCGGGCCGTAGTGCTTCCACAGAATATACTCGTAGTAGTGGTCGTTGCCGGCGCCGTTGGCCGAGTTGAGACCGCGGCCGAGGTAGCGCGGACCAGGGTTGACGTTGCTCTGCCGGCCCAGGAGCACAAGGTGGAGCTCCACACCGTCCTTCAGGGTGCACACCCGCTCCCCAGCAAAGCCGCGAATAAGCTTCGAGCACGCAGCGGGGAGTGAGCAGGCGGCGAACGGCTCGCGCAGGTGGGCGGACCAGTCGCATGCCAGGCCCGGAGCCGCGCACGCATCCGGCTTCGTGAAGGGAAACGGGAGCATTACATCCGCGTCGTCGCTGTAGTAATAGCCTTTGTAGTACGTGTACTCCCGAAACTCGCTCAGCCGCGTGCGGTCGGCTGGGCTTACGCGCACCGGCGCCACACCCCGCAGCTCGAAGGGCACCCACGCCGTCCCCTCCACCTTGTGAATGACGCCAGCAAATGGCAGGCGGACGGCAGTCGTGATGGACGTGGCGACGAGCATGTACACCTTGTCGATGCGCAGGCACCCAAACAGAGCGGGGAACTCCTGGAAGCTCGTGAACGGCCCGCACTGCTGCCGCGCCTGAGCGAGGGAGGCGAACTCCGTTGCAGGGAAGACAACAGATCGCTGCAGCTGCCCCCTGCTCGTGACCTCGAGCGGGATGGTGACGGACCCGCCCAGCCATTCCTTCATCGGGCAGTACAAGTCGTCGGTCGGCGGCGGCGGCGGCTTGGGGGCAGGCGGCGGGGCAGCCGGTGTTTCAAAAAACAGCAAGTCCTCTAGCTCCACCTTGGGCGGCGGTTTCGGCTTCGGCACCACCACAAAGAGGTACTGCACGTCGCCCTTCACAGCGATGGCGCATCGATTGCGGCTGGCAGGCGGCGCAGCTGCGTCTCCCGCAGCGCTGCTCTGCGTACTACGCGGCGACTCCATCGAAGGAGAGAAAAGCGGTTTCTGCTAGATACTGAATAGCGAAAGTGAAAGGAAAAACAAAGGTGCGGCAAAGCGGGAATAGAGATCCAGAGTAAAGGAAGGGAGGAAAAGGAGTCGCTGAGCAACTTACGTGGTGCAGCTGCGGTTTATTAGTAGCAGTTGACCCGCTTCAAGAAAGAAGACGACGGCTTCACCGTCGTAGGGTTGATTGGATGCAGCGGCTGCGGTAAAGAAACGAATGAGACGACTAATGCGGAGTTGCGCTCCAGGTTGCTTGTGCCGACAAACCCAAACCAGAGAACGAGAAAGTAGAATGGATCCGCGTTAAGAAACAAGAGTGCAGGAGAAGGAGGACGAGAGGAGGACTGTGAACGCAACTAAATGAAGACATTTGGGGAGGAAAAGCAAAATACAAGTGAGCCTTGAAACCGCGCACTTCTGGGGCTGTGGGCTTTCACGGAGCTACACAGTACGAATGCCAGAAGATGACCCACCTCATGTCGGAAAACAAAACATAGATATCCCACACCAAACAGTTTTGGGTCGTTAAGCTCGGACTCTCCACCACTGTCTTTTCTTTCACATCCTACCCGGGCAACACTGGAGGCGGATGAAAACGCCCTCTTCGTTTTCCTGTTTGGTTTGTTGATGTTTCTTAACTAGAGAGTTACGCACGACAGTAAACAAATATGTGAACACTTTCTTATTTTTGAGATTTGGCATGCCAAGGCTTCGTTGCACCGGTCGGTGGTCACTTTTGGTTGAGAGCGAGTTGATCAGAGAGAAGAGGAAAAAGAGGAGAAAAAAGCGCGTGCAAATACACGAACTGACAAAAATCACTGCTACAGAGAACAGCGGACGTGAGTAGAAGAAACACACACACCAGACAGAATCAAAAAGGAGGGGCTTTTTCTTCTTGTCTGCGTTGACTCACGTCGGTGTGAGCAAAGAGGGAAAAACGGCCTGCGTTTTCGCGACGGCGGTTTTTGTCCGCTAAAAAAAGCTAAAAAGAAAAGTTCGTTCCTCCGTTACCGATGCTCCTCTTATCCGACTACGCCTTTCCCAGGAGTGTGTCCATCGCCGTCAGCCAGGGACCGATTTTTGTCTCGTTGATCATCTCCGTGTATACGCGGTGTCCGCGCACGGACTGGAGAACGCCGTAGGTGTCGAGATCCACCAAGTCCGGTTTGCTGCCACCGTGGAAGGCCTTGGGTTTCTGCGACTTGATGTCCATGAGGGCCTCCGAGGTGAAGCGGTTCACCTCGGCGTGCAGACGTACCTTCGGGTCGTCGTCGGGCTTCATGAGACCGTCCTTCACGAGGCGCGTCTTTGTCACCTTCATTGCCACAATGTACATGACCGGCGCACCGATCACCTTCAAAAAGAGCTTGTTCACGTAAGGAATGGTGTCGCAAGAGTCGATGTAGGAGTAGCCGGACCACGCCGCGGGGAGACTGCGGTTGAACTCCAGCGTAACGAAGCGGACGAGGGAGCTGCGGGCCCACGAGCGCCACTTGGCGATCTCATCGTCTTTCAACTGGCCAGCGAAGCCCATCTTGTCGGCGAGGGTGTCAACGATGATCTGCGAGTCCACCAAGTACGGGCCAGGGCCCTCCTTGGTGTCAAAGCGCAGCTGAGGCACCTTTTTGTACTGGCTATCCCTGAGCTCGCCCTTGAACATCGGCTCGACCTCCACACACTCGTGGGGGACGCGGTGGTAGTCGAGGAACGCCTTGACAGTGCCGCACCACGGGCAGGTCGTGTAGCGGTACAGCTTCGTGAGGGGGTGGTCCTGCGTGTCGCACAGTTTCTTGAAGGCCTCCTTCAGCTTCGCGGCGTCCTGGGCGGCGTTGAAGCTCTCCGCCGACACGCTGCGGTTCTCCTTCAACCGGCGCTGGTACATCGCGTAGCCACCGCCCAGCCCAGCCACGCCAGCCAACGCCGTGCCTAAGAGCACCTTCCTACCGAGCGATCCTTTGCTGAACATACTGTATGTGTACGCGTATGTCCGTGTCTCTGATTTACGAAAGAAAGAGATGGCGAAATAAACGAGAAATAAATCTGCTAAAGTGCAAACTGCTGCGAGGCAGAGGTCCGGAGACAAGCGCGTAGTTGCGGACATTGAGGAAGGAGAAGAAGAGGAAGGGAGATAGAGAGCTAGCGAGGCAAGGAGCGTTGAACATGAGCGCGCATCACGGTGGCGGAGCAGCAGAAAGGCATGCGATGAGTTACGGGAACCTGAGCTCCCGAAGGGACTCATAGATACGTGTCGAAGACCAGGCACATCAAGAGCGAGGGCACTCCGCACATTCATGCCTCATATGGGCAGCGTCCTGGCGCGTAGTGAAGCGGTCCGTTCTTCGCTGCTCAAGGCGCCAAAGCGCAGAATACACTCCGTTAACAAAGAGTCAAGAGGAGCACACTTCATTTCGCACGTCCTCCGCGACGCTACGAAGGCGGCCCAATGCGTCCGTAGGGAACTATGCTTTGTTAAACGGCTGAGAGGACGGGGAAAGGTAAAAAAACGGGCAAAGATCCAGCTATACTCCGTGTGTGGAGGTGTTTGTGGGTGTGGGTGTGTGTGAAGAGCAAGAACAAGAAAGAAGACAAAGGGAAGGGGCACGAGTATCAATTACGTGCCGTAGCGCGTAGAGGGCATTCCATCTACCCACGACTTCTGGTGCTGGCCCCAGTGCTCGTCGTCGGTGTGATGGAGACCGCTGACGTTGACGAGCGGCTCCTTGCGCACCTCCTTCTCTAGTGCCATTTCAGCGAGTGAGTCGTAGGGGCGGGCACGGCGGGTGGCTAAGTTGTGCAGCTTGCGGTACTTCCGCCCGTGTTCGTCCTGGTCGCCGTGGACGATGGCGTTGACCCGATTCGCGTAGGCTTTGCGAGAGAGCCTCTTGTACCGCTTTTCAGGACTGTCCAAAGCATGCAGGAGTTCGTGCATTCCGCCGTGCATGTTGCCGCCACTCCCGGCGGTGCGCGACAGCTTCTTCTCCTCCGCCGTCATCAAGAAGGTGCGCTGCGCCTCATCCTGGCGACGCTGTATCTTTGCCTTGGTGAGGGCATCCTGACTCAGCGGCCACTGCCCGCGCGTCTGCAGTCCGTTCTCCACGTGCTGGGCAATAAAGGCGATACGTTGGCTGAAATCCGTGACGGAGGATGGCCACTGCTCGTAGCCTTCCGGCTTCCGCATCGCCATGCGCCGCAGCGTCGCGGCACGCTTTTGCCGCTTGCGCTGCAGCCAGTGGAAGCGCCGTTTGCCCTGACGGATGTCGCGCAGTTCGGCCAACGTCAGCGTCTCCTCAGCTGCGGCGCGGTATTCCTTCGCCTTTTTCAGGCGCGTCCAGTCTCGCAGTCGCGCATCACGCGGCATTCGGGCCAGGCGCACGCGCAGCGCCTCGTCCTCCTCCGTCAAGCCGAGCGAGCCGTACTTCACGCGGTCGCGAATGTTGTAGGGCAACGCGTGCACCCAATCGGGGAAGTACGTGTCATCATCCAGCATAAACGCGTCCATCCGCGATGTCGGGTACACGCCGTGCTCCTCCACCAGCCGCTTGTGGTGCGCCTCAATCGTCTCCTCGTCGTCGTCGTTGGCCCGCAGCCGGCGAAAAAGCTGATAGAACTCACGTGAGGTCGGCGGCTGGGCGAATTTGTCCGCCACGTGGTCGCGACGGTCCACCTCGCGCCGCATCAGGTTGCGCATCGTGGTGCTGTAGTCTCCCGTATCGCTGGCGGCGGCAGCGACCGCGTCGTCAGACGAGCGAACCGCCTGCATCTCCGCAGCGGTTTGCGGCAGTCGACGACCGCTGCGCAGCGCCTCTTCGGTGTTCGCATCCAGCTTCAACGTCTCCATTAAGTTGCGCTGGTGCTCCTCGTTAAGGAGGCGGCGCTCCTTCCTGTGCGTCTTCAGCACCGCCGTGACGTTTGACCTGTTGCGATACACCCCCGGCTCCGTGAAGCTGTCTCCCAACTCGTGCTTCGTCAACGCGCCTTTGTTCACGTTGACACCGCCCCCCTGCGTCCGCTTTGAGAACGCCACCTGTTGATAGGGTCGCTGCAGTATGGTGGTCCTCTTGAAAAACATAGTGCCGTGTTCTTTGCTTCGTCTGTGCAGATTTCCTGCGGAAGCGAAAGCGTACTTCGTCGCCGGAGCATCAATCAATGAATGGTGAAAAGATGAAGTCGCACGCCAACACGTGCCGAAGGAAGGGGGAGACAGGGGAAAAAATGAAGGGGGAGAGACGAGTGGGGAGACACCGTAAAAGCACCGCAGTGCTGTAGGGGACGTTCGCAGAGAGTACAGAAACAGCGCGCATGCAAATGGCTGAGACACGGAACGTCCAAGTCTTGACCTCGGTGGGGAAGCCAAGGGAGACAAATAACTGCAACCGATATGCCTACACAACTGAAAGACAACACCGTACGTCTTACGTACTGCGTCACACTCAAAGGCATGCAATGACGCCCACACACAGACACATCGCAGTGAACACACTCTTCTCAACAGAATTGAATGCGCTTTCTCGTTTTCGTGGTCATCGTCATTCCTGACGATTCTTATATTTCGCCTTCGACGGGCTTAGCCAACGTCGTGTGCCTCAACGACCCTCAATAAAAACCGGTGTCTGGTGCCGTCGTTAACGGGGAAAGTAAAGGAAAAAAGTTACGCCTCAAAACTCACATATATAGATATACCACAAAGCGATTGCTTCAGCTTGTAGCACAGACAACATTCTCAACTTAAGCACGCAACACACACTCCACCGGTAGATTTATTGCTTTGGGCCAAAAATGCACGGTGCTGCGCAACATGGTGCTCCGCGGGAACTTCCCCGCTCCACTTCGGGGGGTAGAAGCCGCCACTGCATCCGAATAAGAAAGCGAACTGAGAAACGAAAAACAGACAGGAAGCACAACGAGGAGGCGGAGGTCCTCCACTTTTGAAGGGTGACAGGGTGAATCTTTTGTTTCTTTTACGCGATCGTCTTCACCTTCGCCGCCTGGCTTCGCTGATAAGCTGCGGAGCGGTAGCAGTTGTACCCGTTCACGGTGGCCAGGCAAATGTTCACGAGGGCCAATGAGCGGCTGCCGGAGTTCTGCGGCTGGATGAGGAGGGCGTAGACGAACCACACACAGCCGGTCGCACAGAGTGCCACACTGGACTTGATGTCGATCTTCTCGACTGGGGGGTTGCCCGAGACGATGCCGTACAGCGGAACGATGGAGAGGGACCACTTGAAAAGGGGAGCGGTGTTGTAGATGCTGTTCAAGTAGGCGATGACCGGGTTCGTCTCGTAGGGCTTCAGGAAGTTGAAAATGCGCCCCGTGCCCACCCAGCTGTGGAATACTTTGGGGAATGCCTTCGGAATGGCCTGTGCAGCGACGGTGGACATCTTAGCGGAATTTCTTTATTCAACAAGAAGGTAGACAACCTGCTAAGAAATAATAAACGCGGAGTGGGGTGAAAGCGGGGGGGGCCAGGTAGGCGTGAACAGACGATCCTGTGCAGTAATCGTTGGCGGTGGTAGTGGTGGGGGAAAGGGAGGTGCGATGAGGTGTGTGGCATCGGTAAGAGAAGAAAACGAAGAGCGCAAAAAGCAACAGGAATGAGAGGAAACAGCTCGAGTGGGACCTACTCGGGAGAATACCCCGCAGGACCCTGGATGTACTACTGCAGTATCGAAAGGTGCCATCGACTTCGCAGAATGCAGAAAGGCTGCGATCACCCGACAGCTCGACGCAGCAGCCCGCTCTCGCCTTCTCTATTCATGTATTAGCACTTCCCGCCATGAGCGCGCACACAAGCAGCACGCCTTTCCCACAGTAATGGCGTAGGCTTGTGAAATCTCACGTCTAAATGGTATAGCGCAAACAGAGGAGCAACCAACAAGCAGATCGTCAAGTTCGCAACGCGCAAAAGAGTCGCGGTTACAGTGCGGACTGCTCGTACTCGAGCAAACGTTCCTGTGCCGCAACAAAGCTGGTCCACTCTGCCGCGCTCAACTCCGGCGGCGCAGGGGACACTGTAGCGGCAGTGGTGTCACCGCTGAGTTCATCCAACCGCAGCAACGCCGCGGTGGGCTGCAGCCGCCGGGACAACAGCTCGTAGTGCGGAGAGCTCTGCGGCAGAAGGAGGAGCAGTACGTGAAGCGTCTGGACCAGCGCGGGGCACGCCGCGGGGCGCAACAAGGAAACCCGAAGGAAAGCAAACGCGGGCGACTCCAGCTGCTGTACAAGGTGGTCCAGCTGCACGTACGTCGCGACGGACACCTCGCCCTCGCCGAGATATTCACAGATGCGCCGCGCCAAGGCGTAGTGGCGGCACATCAGTCCCAGCGAGAGCAGCGCCACTGCGTTGTAGCGCCAGCACTGCTGGAGAGACGCGGACAAATTTGACGCCGCCGCGTCTGCCGACCCACGACGCAGCAGCGCCCGCACGTCGTCGAACTCGGGAAAGGTAGTGAGGATAGCGTGCAGGGAAAGCACCACTTTGCTCACCAGCCGCAGATCCTCCACGCCCGCCAGCTCCTCTGCAAAGTGGACGAGCACACAAACTGGCGCCGCGTCGGCGTCCAGCCGAGTGCGGAAGAACGCGTGCAACTTGCGAACGACGGTGGGGAATCGCGACAGCAACAACCCGTTTTGGGCGTGCGACAGCAACCGCTGAAGGACGAGCCGCACGACATGCGAGAAGCGGTCGTCGCTGGTGAGCAGACACGCCACTTCGATCGCCCGCTGCGCCACGTTGTCGGCGGCCTCATCGATCAGCGCGACGACGCACTCCAACACGCCGTCCAGCGCCTTCTCGGTGCACTGCGGGGCGAGGTGGTGCACCACCAGCAGCCACTCCAGCACCCCCAACTGCGCCTCATCGCCGACGCTGCTGCCCAGCAGCTCCCCCACGCTCCGCAGCAGGGACTCCGCGACGCTCGCCGTCACGCCAGCCTCCATGGACACTAGCGCGTCCTGCACCTCCTGGTTCGCCGTCACCGCCGCCTCGTGCGTTGCGGCGTCTTTGGACGCGAGCTGCGGTACAATCGCCTGCAGCGCCCGCGGCAGGTAGCGCTGCAGGACGTCGTCGTGCACGCTCAGCGGCATCATCTCCCCAATCCACTCCAGACAGAACACGCGCGTGCGGGCGGAGGACGTGCCGTTGATGCTGCTGAACAGCGTGTTCATCACCTCACACACATCCGCGCTGCGCTCACCAGCAAAGTGACGCAGCACATCCCGTCGGCATCCCCGCAACACATCAAACACGTTCGCGTTGTCGTGGACGGAGGCGGCGAGAAGTACACGAAGGAGGGCCGACATGGAAGCCGAGAAGTGGCAGCCGGGCAGCTCCATCACAAACCGCAGCCAGTTGAGAATCCACTGTGGCACCGCGGAGGTCGCATCCGACATTAAAATGCCGGAGGAGGAGGTGAAGTTGCCCAGCGTGTTGGACACGAAGGCGGTGAAGACGGGCATGTCGATGGCTGCCGCGCCGCTGCGGCTGACCGCCTCCTTCAGCGCACACGATACCTCCTCGGCTAGGAAGAAGACCCGCTTGTCGCGATCGCCGACGGTAATGGAGAGGGCAGTGAAGAGGTCGGTAAAGCGAATCGCCAGCGCCTCGGTGCCGTGCTGACGCACCAGGTCGTAGCACGCCTCCACGGCGGCAATACGCACAATTGGATCAGCGTCCGCCATGCTGCGCAGCACCGGGTCCACCAAGTTCGCCACGAGGCTTTTGTCCAACGGGTGCGGTGGTATGCCAGCACAGATGGCCCGCAGACAGAGCAGACCACCCCGGCGGTACACCGCGGCGGTGTTGCGCAGCAGGTGATCGTCGACGTTGCGAACATCGCGCACGAGGAGCTCGACCGCCTCGGCGGTGGGGACGTCCTTGAACAGCTGCGAGGTGCGGGCGGTGATGACCTGCGCCGCCTTGGCGCGTGCCTCAGCTTTGCCCTCAATGAGAGTTTTCCGTGAGGCCTGTATGGCGAGTGGATCGGCCATGCTACAGCTTCTGCATAAAACACGTAAAGGACAGAGAAGAAAGAAGAGAAAGCGAGACGACGAATTGCAGCGGGGTGGTGAGTTGTACGCCAACAAACAGGACAGGAGGGAGCCGCGAATACAACTATCTAGGTGCCTCATCTTCCATCGACGCTTGTGAGCACACGAGAAGGTTGGGGAGTTGAACATCACCAACGTACCTTCACATAGGTGCTGTGAGGTTGTGGCGTCGAGGAAAAGCTCACTCGAGATTATGTTAGACGCGACATGACGTCAAGACTCTTCGCGGACACGTGCGCTGCACCCTGCACGCCAATGCGACAACGCAAGTCCGGAGCGTACAGTGCAGAAGTGGTATGTTCGAAACGATCCCATAAGCGGCGGTGTAATGAGTCGCTGCCGCTCCGCAGTGCCGCTCTACCGCCTTAGATCTGTGTCGGGGTTGAAATGGTAGACTAATCTTATTGCCAGACGACGACGCACAACGAACTAGAACAGAAAAACCTACTAAACGTCAAAAGAAAAAAAGGCAGACGATGTATGCGCTGAACGGCAACCGATGCGCACCGCATGCGGGGGTGTACAAGAATGAAAAGAACGCTATATAGTAAAAGAAGTTTCCTCCCACGTGCGCCATGACACACCGCTTCACATAAAAACAACAGCAAAACTAAAAGGAATTAATCAAACCAGGAAAAAAAACAGAAAGATACGTAAGAGACACGTTGTATATTTTTTTGCCATCGACGCTCGACGAAGGAGTGCAGTACAGTTTATTTTTTCTTTTCTTTTGATTGAAATGCGGGTGTAAAAATACAGAGACGGAGTCCTTCTCCCTCGCCGTAGTAGAAGATAAATAAATAAATAAAAGAAGTGGTCTCACAGACAACTTCTATTTCCAGTTGGTGGGAAGTACTGGAGAGAGAAAACCATAAACGAAGCTGCGACGCCTTCTCCACAGGCAGTTCACCTACGACAGTGTCCCGTGCTGTCCAATTGTTTGTTTGCTTGTTTTTTTTTTTGGGGGGACGGAATTCAACGCTGCTGTTTTATAGAACAGCTCTATCCTTTGAATTTTTTCATGCAATGTTCATTCACACACCCTCAACTGCGCGCGCGCATGACCTACGAGGAAAAAAAACATGTGTATATAAATAATAATAAAAAAGAACGCACTGAACGACGCAGCCGCCCTGCAGATTTCATATAGAGAGCAGAGGGAGCTGCAACGTAAGAGTCGTGTTTACGTATCAGATGTTGACGGTACAGGACAAATAAAAACCTAAAGACAGAATTGCAGCTTCGTACAGGTACTAAAACGTAGGAGGGAAAAGAAATCAAAGAAAGAAGGGTGCGAAGAGCTTCGAGGGCGGCCGGCCGCACGACACGTGTTGCAGGTAGTCACGCCACAGCTAGGAGAACGAAGCAACAACAAATTGGTGAGGCCCCAACATAAAGAAAAACAGGACTTCTCGCTTTTGCCGTGTCTGTTTGGGGAGTTGGCTTCAGGTTCGCCTTCGCGCCGGCACACGACCACGCGCTCGCTGCATGGGAGACGAGGGGAAGAAAGAAAAGCGGAGGTACGAGCGCGGCTGCGTCGGATGCTCTTCGGGGGGAGCGGGAATTCAACCGACGCAACAGGAAAATCACGTAAGCAATCGCGGAGACCGCTCTTGTGCACGCAACGACGCCCCCTTTGCTGGGGTCAGCACGTGCCGGCGTATGTCGCCTACTGCGAATTCGGGGAGACCCCGCGCGTGCTGGATCGGCGCGGGGTGCTGCCACGGCGGACCGACTCCTCTTCTATGAGGCTCTTGCGCTTCTCGAGCTCGCGGATGCTCTCGAGGTTCTTCTTCGAGAGGTTCGTCTGGTCAAACGGCAAATGCTGTTCGGACTGTGGGTTACCAGACGGGTACCACGGCTTGTTGTAGCCAGGGGCGGTCGGGCTGGTTGTCGGCTTCCAGCTCACGCGGCGCTGCTTCTGGTGGGGAGCAGGCACAGCGTAGTCCGGCTGATCTTCCTCTGCCGCCTCCTCCTCGTTGCCCGGCTCCCCTTCGTGTTGCCCGACGCGCGGCTCACCGGCGGCGCCCTCCTCGCCCTTATCGTCGTCGTGTGTGGCCTCGGCGCCCTCGTCCTCTTCATTCTCGCCGTGCTGAGCGTCGCGGTCTTCGCCGTCATCTCCCCCCTCGCCTGCCGCGGGTTCCTCACCCTCGCCGTCGCCCTCGTCCTCGTCCTCGGCTGCTCCTTGATCGCCGACGTCACGGTTAGCGTCAGTATCCTCTTCCCCGTCATGCTCGTGGTCGTCGTGGTCAGCGTGGTCGGCATCGCTGCCTTGTTCACCATCATGCTCGTGGTCGTCGTGGTCAGCGTGGTCGGCATCGCTGCCTTGTTCACCATCATGCTCGTGGTCATCGTGGTCGTCGTGGTCGTCGTGGTCAGCGTGGTCGGCATCGCTGCCTTGTTCACCATCATGCTCGTGGTCATCGTGGTCG